GTGAGCCTCGCAGACTGCCGACGATCCCGCCGCCCCCATCACCCCTGTCCGCAATCGCGGGGTGCTACGTGAACTGTCGGAGGTCCACGCCGATTTCTTGGATCGGCGCTGGGCCCCCTCCCTGGTGCGCGAAGAATATACAACTGTTTGTCCCCTCGAGAATCAGAGCCGACCGTCGTCACCTTGAGAGAGGGGTGGGCCAAACCTGGGCGACGGGCGGGCTACGGAGCACGCTGGTCCCTGGAGTGCGCGAGCATACCTGAGAAGGCAGCGAGGGAGGATGTCACGATTGCCCTTGGGCCGAAAGCTCAAGGGCGAGACGGCCGAGCAGAGGCGGACGGCGGCGGTGCTCCGTATCGGAGTGCCGTCCGCCTTGTAGAGGATACTCTCTGCCTCGCTCCCGCCGCCCGCCCAGGTGCTGGACCGCGAGATCCCGGCCACGTAGGCCTGGGGGCCGGGGCACCGCCGAAGCCAGGCCCACGAGGGTGCCCTCCCCTTCGACGACCAGCTCGGGCCCACCCCTCTGCCTTGCTCTCGTCTCCCTGTCCCGTTCCTTCGGCCCCACCCATCCCCTCCCTTCACCTCCCGTCCTGCCGCCCTGGACCTTCCAGGAACATGGGGACATCGGCACCGACCCAGAGACTGCTCTCGAAGCCCACACTTGCCATGCGCATGAAGGATAAGCCGTAATCGAGATCGGTGAAACTGCGCTATCTACGATAATAGTAGGTTGTCATAACAGCGGGAACGGCGGTGTCGCTGGTGCTGCAATTGCTGCGTCTTCGGTTTCACGATTCCCACGACTATGTTGCTGATCCGCCACCGTGCCTGCACGGCATGGGCGTGTTAAACCTGGGCAAGCACGGGAACGGAAAGAGCGGTTCCGTGGGGCCTCCCCGGGAGTGATCATGACGGCACCGTCATCCCTTGGGAGCCTTTGCGTTAGGAGGTTTGGGCGTGAGCTTTAGCACTTGGGAACCTTGGTTTGAGAGCTCTTCACTCCACCATTCGCTCTTTGGAGTCTTGCTGTTCAGACCTCTTTACATGACCTCTTGCTCTTGTGAACCTTCGCGTTCAGAGCTCTTCATATCATCGGGAGCTCTGGGGAACTCTGGCGTCACATATTCTTCTGTCACCGACTCTTCTTGAAAGGGGTGCTCCGTCACCTGGAGCTCTGGCGTTGGAGTGAAAGTGTTGTCTTCGTTAGTACTGGGAGCCTTGGCGTTCGAAGTGGTCCACGTCACTGTTCGCTCTTGAGAGCCTTGGTGTTCAGAGCTGCTGACGTCAATGTGAGCTCCGGGGAGCCTTGATGTTCAAAGCTCTTACAATCATCGCTCGTTATCGGGAGCCTCGGCGTTGTCATTGTCCGCTCTTGGGGTCCTGGCCGTTCAAAGCTTTTTACGTCACTGTGAGCTCTTGGCGGCCTTGGTGATCAGAGCATTTGTGTCACCTTTCCCTCGTGGGAGCATTGGCGTTCAAATGTTTTTACATCGCTGTTCGCTCTTGGGGGCCTCACGAGAGGCTCTTAGAAGCATCCTGAGGACCTCTCAGGGGGCCTCTTGGGAGTCTTTTGGTCCGTTTTGTGGTCCTCTAAAGCCGTCATGGAGCCCTCTTGGACCGTATTGGGGCTTGTCTTGAAGACCTCTTGGAGGCCTCGTTGACGTCTTGGTGTCCTTGGAGGCCTCCTTAGACCTCTGGGCAATTTGGGCCACATCTTGGGCCGTCCTGGGGCCCGGCTTAGGCTGGCTTCGGGCGCTCTTGGGGCCCGCTTGGGAACCCCCTGTGGCCCCCTTTGGACTTTCCTGGGAGCCTCTTGTTCGGGCGCTCTGGGGCCGTGTTGAAGCCTCGTTGGACCGTTCGGGGTTCTGTGGGGCCCTACTTGGGCCGTCTTGGGGCTCTCTTGGGCCGTCTCCGTTTTGAAGCCCTCTCGGTAATCTCTTGGAACGTTTTGGGACGATCTCGGAAGCCCCCTGGGCCGTCTGTGGCCGCTCTTGGTTCGGAAAAGGCAACCACCAAAGGAACATAAATGTCAGTTGCCTTCTCTGGCCCTCTTGGGGGTCCTCTTGTGGGGCCTGTTGGGGCGTCTTGGAGACCCCTTGGGCCGTGACAAGACCATCAGGAGCCCTCAAGGAGCGCTCGTGGACCTGTTTCGGAACCTCTTGTGTCTCTCTGAGGCCGTCTAGGGGACATTGCTGGCCGTCTTGGAAGCTATTCAGGCCGTCTTAAAGCCTCCTGGCCGGAAAAAAACAAAAAACAAAAAACATGACCCCCAGAAGGCGTGTTAGAACAAAGGTGGAAGGCTACCGAGCACTGGAGAGCGTCGTGGCCTTGGCATGGAAAGGTTTTCGCGTGACTGTGCGCTCTTGGGAACTTTGACGGCCACAGCTGTGCACGTCTCTGCGAACTCTGGGGCGCCTTGGGGATCCTAGCTTTTCGTATCACCGTTGGCTCCTGACGTTGTGTCGTTGAAGGTCTCGGGGGGCCTCTTGAGGGGCTCCGGGAGGCATCTTGAAGGCCTCTTCGGGACCTCTCGGGGCGTTTTTCGGCACTGTTCGGGCCCTCTTGGGCCGTTTTGGAGCCCTTTTGGGCCGACTCGCGACCCTCCTACACCGTCCTGGAGGTTTGGGCCCGCTTGGTGCTTTTGGGACCCTCTTGGGAGCCTCATGTGGCCCCTTTGGGGTTCCCCTGGGAGCCGCTCGGGGTTCTGTGGGGCCCTCCTTGTGCCGTCTAGGGGCTCTCTTGGGTCGTCTTCAGGTGCTCTTGGGCTGGCTTGAACCCCTCGTGGAAGCCTCTGGGGTTGTTTTGGGGACGATCTCGGAAGCCTTCAGGGCTGGCTTGGGTTGTTATTGCCCACCAAATGCGAGAACCCCAAAATCCTTCAAAAACCTTCAGATGATCGACCATGTTGCCCCCTTGGGTTTCTCTTGGAGGTCCTCGTGGAGACCTCATGGGGCGTCTAGGAGGGCCCCTGAGGCCGTCCTTGGGCCATCGTCGCCGCTCGTGGAACGCTCTTGGGCTGTCTTGGGGCCTCTTGGGCCTCTCTTGGGCCGTCTTGGAGCTATCCTGAGCCGCATCGGGGGCATCTTCGGCCATCTCAGGGACGAATTGTGCCGTCTTGAAACCGCCTGGGCCAAACAGGCCGCCAACATGGCCCCTGGGGGGGCGCGTTAGAAAACATGGGTTGGCACGGAAATGGAGAGAGCGTTTCAATGGAGCGGACGTTTGAGCATGGCCACAGGACGCTCGCGGCCGTCTGTGCGGCAGCGGTTTAAACGCAGGGATCACCATGTATAAGTGTTGGCGTCGGAAGAAAGGCAACCGAACACTGGAGAGCGTCGTGGCCATGGCGTGGTAAGGTAGCTTTTCGTATCACCGTTGGATCCTGGAGCGGCGCCGTTGACGGTTTCGGGGGGCCTCTTGAGGAGCCCCGGGAGGCATCTTGAAGGCCTCTCGGGGTCCTGTTGAAGCGCGTTCCGGCAATGTTCGGGACCTCTTGGGCCATTTTGGAACTCTCTTGGGCCGTCCCATGGACCGTTTGGACCGTCCTGAAGGGCTCGGGCCCGCCCGGCGCGCTCTTGGGGCCCTCTTGGGAGCCCCCCGTGGCCCCCTGTTCTGGGAAACGCTCGGGGCTCTGCGGGGCCGTCCTCGCGCTGTCTTGGGGCTGTCGCGGGCCGTCTTCAGGCGCTTCTGCGCTGTTTTAGAACCCTCTTGGGAGCCTCCGGGTCAAGCGCGCGACCCAGTGCTGGAGCCTGCCCAGTCGGCTGAACAGCCTCTCGACCGCGCCCACCTCAAGCAGCTCCTCCCACTGCGGGAACTCGAAAGGTCCCAGCACACCATGTCCAAGCTCCAGCATCCCAGGACGCCCCGCGTTCGGATGCATCCTCTCGTCCTCCTCCAGGCCGGGCGACTCCACCTTCTCTCCGACGCCCGCGTGAAACTCCTTCACACTGATCTGCCACACCTGCTCTGCGCCCCTTCTCCAGCTCACGCCTGATCTCGCGCACGTGCGACATCGCGACCACCGCCCCGAACCCTTCGTCGCTCGCGCCTGTCACGAAGACCGCCGCGCGCCGACTCGAAGAACGCGGCGAGCGACGGGGGCGCCATCAGCTCGCCCCTGACAGCGGCCGCGACCACCTGGCGCACCTCCGCCCGATTCCACCAGTAGGCGCCAATCCAACGATAGCTTCCAGCATCGCAAAAGTAGGTCGAAGCGCCAACATCCTCCACGCCGACCATCCCACGAGCGTCGCCAGCTCCTTTGCAGCTTCCAGAGCGGGGAAGATCCCAAGCCGCTTTTTGCCGCAATCTGCGCCATCCTCCGCGGCCTAGCTCCCGGCATCACCCGACTGCGCCTGGATCGCGACGCACGTTGCACCTCGCACGGCAGCTGGGGCTCGCGATATACTGAAGGCTGCCCACGCTCGAATAGCCAATCCCAGCAGCTGACTGCTCCAGAATGGACACGCCGGTCACGACCAGCAACGTGATCTCCCTGCAACACCTCGCACCCCGGGTTCCCCCGGTGTCCACGCCGACGCTACACAGATCAGCAAGAGCAGGCACCACAGTGCGATACGCGCCCAAGGGTCGCCACTCAACGAACCCCCAAGCCACCCCAATTCGTCGTCACGGGGCGCGTTATCACGCACCGCTGAGAGGTGCCCGTTGGTCTGCGCCCTCTTCCGGAGCCTGTCCATAAACCTCCTATTCGCGAGAACCCTCGCAGCTGTCATGCGCGGCCACCCTGAGGTAGTCCTTTCCCAAAGACCAGTCCACCTTCGAGCGCCGCTTGGCCCCGTCGGCATTTCTCGGGCGCCTCCAGTCCGATTTGCAGGCCACGCTCCCGCAGGCCTTCATGATTGTATACATCCGCAGATAATTCTGCTGACTCGATGTGACAATGGAATTTACCACAGGCCATCACACAATCAAGCATCATAGCAAGCACCGTCATCCCGTTCGCCATGGCCGTCTGTGTCAACTCCGTGCTGCGCAGCCACTCCTGGACTTCTAACTTGTCCGACCTTCCACCACAATATACGTCGTCCAGTACCGTACGTTCCACGCGAATCTTGCTGCCACCAACACGCATAGAGGGGTTGCGATCATACCTCTTAGGAGTCGGTATCAAGGTTATTTCGGACTCTTGCTCTCCATCTCGACCTGCCCAATAGTTTCGGCCACTGGACGCGAAGGCGCCGAAAGCTTCTCCCATCCAGAATATGATGACGGCTTTGGTCCTTGACCGTCCACAGGACTGCTGATTTTCATCCTCATCCCAGAGCCGCCCCCCCTCAATCTCCTCGAGTTCGTTCACCTCGGAGATGACATGATCAAGCCAGGCCTCCGCCGGAGCCCCTCGAGCTTCAGAAGCCCCCACTCGTGCCGGCACGCTGGACGCAGAACTCTCAGCACTCTCCGATTGCAACGTTGCCGTCACCGCCGTCGGCCCCGCACGTAGCTCGCTACGCCCACGCTACATCTCAGGGTACAATGCCTTTCGCATCAAGCTCGTAGTCAGAATCGGGGACGGTGGCCCCCGCGATCAGCTCGGAATCCAAAACCACATCTGAGTCCGATCGTGGTCTCACTAGAAGCGACGCCGCCGATCGAAGATCCAGGCCATCACCGGTTGACCCAGTACTACGCCACCCACTTGCATCAAGATCGTCTCCAACTCACCGGACTCAAACATGTCAACCGTGATGGTCCACCAGTCTGATGGTTCCTCCGCGGCCTCCTTCGCCGCCATCACAGTATCATACATGCCTTCGAACATAGGTTCCAACTTGATACACCTCCAGACTCTTCAGCAGACGAAGCCCCCCCGGCAAGCTTCCCCACGATCGGCGCAGCCCCCCGAAGCAAAAGACACTCGACAGAAGCGCACCAATCCATTTTACAAGTACTCCCTTGGCGGTGTTGTTCTTCTTGCCCTCGAACTTCCAGAAGTTCCTACCTTTCTTGTCGCTGTCTTTCGTCGTCTTGGCATTCTGAGCATCGAGTTCCTGGCGTGCGAAGAAGCGCCGCGATGAACGAAGAACCATGTCACGGCTCTTCTCGGACCAAGAAAAGGCGCCCATGTGACGCCAACAACCGGGTTGGTAGAATCTACGGATTTGTCCGTTAATGAAACTATCCGCACCCTGAGGTTTGGGCCAACACACGTCCAGGTCTGATCAGATGATTTGCCCACTCGCTCGACCAACAACATCACACATCCTGAGCTTTGCCCTTTTTCGGGCGACTCTAGATACTGTTCCACTGCGCCCAGCCCCCCATGAGCAGTGGACTGGACCCGGTAGTCACAACGCTCTCCTGAGTCTCGCTGCAGGTCTCGTCGACCGTCTCGCTGGAGCCCCTCCCGGACTTGTCGCCGCCCTCTTCCTCGAGACTCAACCCGAAGAATGCCAGCACTAGAGAAACGACTCTATACACCGACGCTTTTCCCGACCCTGAGCTGAAATTCGCACAAAAACGCGGATTCTGGTGTATACGTGATCCTGGTGCATATTGAAAAACAACCCGCCACTGGCAATATAGATGTTCCAGTTTGCGAAGCACCTCGTCCTGGAGGAGCCCGAAGCTCCAACGCGAGCCCCGCGCAGACCCATCGCCCGCGCCCGCGCAGGGGAGACCGCGCCCACGGCACAGCCAAAGAAGCACCGCCCCTGGGCCTCGCCCGGAGGAGGAGGAGGAGGAGGAGAGGGAAGAGGAGGAGAGGGAGGAGGAGGAGGAGGAGGAGGAGGAGGAGAGGGAGGAGGAGAGGCAGTAGGGAGAGGAAGGAGGAGGAGGGAGGAGGAAGGGAGGATGGAGGAGGAGGAGGAGGGAGAATGGGGAGATATTGGGGAAAGGGCGGCAGCGGCAACGATGGGCACGCCCAAACGCATAAGTCCACGAACAAAAAATAAAGATGGTAGAAGAAAACGAAAAGAAACACGGGAACCAGCAGCACGCGGGCCCCCTTTCCCACCCAAACCGCAGGCCGCACTGGCTGCGCTCGCATAGCGCACCCGCCCCCGACTCGGCACACTCCTCCCACGTTTCGTGGCCCCAGAGGGAGCTCCATCGGAGGCCCCAGTGGCTGCGCTCGCACGGCGTTCCCGCACCCGCTTCGGCGCATTCCTCATACGTTTCGTGACCCCATGTGGGAGCTCCACCGAAGGCTGCATTGGCTGCGCTCGCAGGGCGGCACCGCACCCGATTCGGCACACCCCTCACTCGTTTCGTGGCTCCAGTACCAGTATCTGCAGTTGACGTCGACTGCCAGCTTCAGGGCAACGTGTATCTGCAAGCGATGTTGCCCTCCATCCTCTGGGGACCACGTAAACTGGAAAAGCGAAGATGCTAATTATCGCACTCGACATGGAGCCACCTACGTTAGGGAAGCAACGTGCGCTTGCCGATGGAACCCGCAGGCCTCAGGGGGCCACGTGTTCTTCGAGGAACAGGGTTCGCCGGTGTCTGGGATTAAAGAATCTACAAGGGGTGAAGCCAATCAGCTCGGAATGGACGCGAATATTGCCAGAGATGGAGCCCGCTGGCATCAGGGGACCACGCACTCTGCACAGGACAGAGACTGTCAACCTTCGGGGGGGAGATTTTTCACGAGGGAGCCCTCCAGCCAAGGACAGCCTGAGGACACCCGCCCAATGGACTTCGTTTTTGTTCGAGGTGGACGTCGCTAGCCTCGAAGGGCCATGCGCTTTGCGAGGGATGATGCCCGCCAGCCTGCGAGGACAGCGTAAATTGCGACAGGCGAAACCCGACAGCCAAACGGCACAGGGGACCACGTGTTCTGGCAGGGATGGAGCCCGCCGCTGGCTTCAGGGCATCATGCATCTGCTATGGACGGAGACTGCCGGTAAGTCGGGGACAAGTGTTTTGCGAGACTTGCGGGAAAGAACAGTGATACAAATCACAAGAAAATCTGCTCCTCCCCGTCAGAGTGGGCTGCCAAGTGGCACAGGAGATTGTTTCCATGCCCCATTTTGGGGATGGACAGACCCCCCTTTAGTAAAACGTGGTTTGATGAAAACGACCTGAGGCCCAAACCTGGCGGGCGCAAGCCTGGAAAATGACGGCCACGGCGCCCTCTCGAGAACCGAAAACGGACAATTTACTAATCGACGTGTCACTGTTGGGGGTTCTGTCCACCCCCGACCAGTATTGACTTCGTTCTTGGCATAACCTCACTGGTGGCCGCATTCTCAAACAAAACCCACCAAAAATCCGCCGGCCCCCTTGTGGGGCCACCAGGCTGTAGGCCCGTGATTCGCAGTTTCCTGTACCAGTTGTAGCTTGTAGTTTCCAGTGTTACAGGTTTGCTTCTTGCTGGTTACTGTAACTAGTTGATTGACCGCGCGAGGGGGGAGGCCCCAAACAAGCTTTTAAGCGTCCCCCTGGGCGCGTTGTCTGAATTGGCTGGGGGCTCGAAATCGACACCCCTCCACGCAGATCCTCGGGTCAGGGTCCAAAAACACCAGGGATTTGCCAACATTTTTGAAATTCCGGTTACCAAGACCCTCACGCAGATCCGCGGGCAGGGCCAAAAACACTTTTTAGATAACCTAGATCAAATACAACAGTATAAAACACTATTAAGAGTGCTATTATTGCACAGCTAGAAAAATAATAAATACACTACTTAATCCAACAGGGACATGCTGCTAAGGACTTTCTGAAATTCGCGCCACCCCCACATGCCAGATCCGCGGGGTCAGGGTCCAAAAACACATGGGATTTGCCACATTTCTGAAATTCGGTGCCACCCCTCACGCAGATCCGCGGGGTCAGGGTCCAAAAACACTAGGGATTTGCCACATTTCTGAAATTCTGTGCCACCCCTCACGCAGATCCGCGGGGTCAGGGTCCAAAAACACTAGGGATTTGCTACATTTCTGAAATTCTGTGCATTTGCCACATTTCCAAAGTAGAGAAAGCGTACATTTCATGAAATTCGGAGCCATAAACATAATCACCCCTCAAACACGCAGATCCGCGGGGACAAGGGGGTCCCAAAAAACACGAGGATTTGCCACATTTCTGAAATTACGGATTTCGGTGCACCCTCACGCAATCGAAACCTAAATAAGATCCGCGGGGTCAGGGTCCAAAAACACATGGGATTTGCCACATTTCTGAAATTCGGTGCCACCCCTCACGCAGATCCGCGGGTTCAGGGTCCAAAAACACATGGGATTTGCCACATTTCTGAAATTCGGTGCCACCCCTCACGCAGATCCGCGGGGTCAGGGTCCAAAAACACATGGGATTTGCCACATTTCTGAAATTCGGCGCCACCCCTAACGCAGATCCGCGGGGTCAGGGTCCAAAAACACAACGGATTTGCCACATTTCTGAAATTCGGTGCCACCCTTCACGCACATCCATCGCAAGGCGTGGTGACCCAAACTGCGAGAACTCGCTCGGCCCTTTAATCGCAAGGTGTGGTAACCAAGCCCGTAAACCATACACGTCTTACCAATCGCCAGGTGTGGTAACCCCTCTTGTGATCAGTTGGTTTTGCTGATTGCGAATCGGCTTCGCATGAAGTTTCGATACTGCTTCACGGCAGCGCCAAGACCTCATGACTTAGCTCTTCCATGGCCCATTCTCCGAGAGAGGGGGCCGGCGGCAGGGGGTGAAGCCCTTACGGATAAAAATTAAAAAAACGCCCGTAAACTTACGAGTGACACATGGGCGAAGTGATCATGAGACATCAGCTCGGTGAGGAACCGAGCAAGTACCCGAGGCGGAGGAAACACACCGACGTTGGCCCGAAACTCGCGTGAGCGAACGAGATCACGGGAGGTGGAGGAAGTGTCAGGCACACGCGTGGCACCAGGACCGAGATCCAAGCCGCTTCCACCTAAAGAAGCCACAACAACCGATCACTCCCGATCACCCAGGAGAGGCCCTCCATGGACAGAGGGCAAGAGCACGCGGGAGCCAAAAACGCGCGACAGCGGCTCCGAACGCGCAACAGCAACTCCTATCGCCTCCTCTCCCCCGACCGACTTTGCGAGACGCATCCAACCGTGGTGGAGAGGGCGCACCCCGGCACCTTCGGATTCCGAACCTCCTTCCAGTCCGGGGTGAACAAGCCGCCGTCGTAGCTGGTGATCTTGGCCACGAACGCCTGTGGGTTCCTGCCGACGGACTCACCGTGACCCTTACCAGCATTGCCCCCCACACACACACACACAAGGTCAACTCAATAGAGAGTGTGGCCTTCCCGGCATCACCTGCGCATCATTCCAGAATCCATGTTGCCAAATGGGCCAGACGCTGCCTCGGAGACATGCTGGTGAAGCCGTGCCTGCCGTGTGACCCGCGCCTCTTCCCCCAGTCCCGTCCCCCATTGTGCGATGCCCTCCTCGGGTACTTCTCGCGCCAACCCTCTTGCGCACTCGCTTGTCGCGGCTGTCCATTCTTAAATCTCCCCCCCCCAAAAAAAAACTCCAAACCCCCTGGCAGAGCGGCGGCGCTCCAGATCGGCTCGCCGCTGGCCTTGAAAAGCACGGGGTCGCCCTGAGCGGTGCGCTGGCAAGGAGAGGGAGCAGGGGGGCATGGCACGGCAGCTACGCATGCAAGAATGCATCGCGCTGGCAAGTGTTCGACGACTAACTTCGGCGCATCACAAGTACGCGCCGGAAACCGTCGACCCTTCACCGTGTGAGACGCTGTCGTCGTATTCGTCGTCTTCGTCGTCGTTGCTGCCAGTCCAACGAGAGAAAGGAACGAACAGAGAAAAGAGAAGTCGTAGTTCAGTCGATTCCCTCCCCTCTTCCTTTTCCTGACGGGATGGGGGGGGGTCCGGGGGAGAGGCGGGGGGGCGTCCCGGGTCAGATTGCCCCCCCGGGTTTCCTGCGGATCCCGGAGGGGGACAACGGGACTACCCCCTCAGGGGGGGTCGCCAGCGGGGGTCCTGGGAGAGGTCACACCAGTGGCATGGGAGGGTGGTCCTGGGTCAAATGCCGCCCCACCCCACCCCCCCTTCCCCCTCCCTCCCCCCTCCCCCTCCTCCTCCTCCTCCTCCTCCTCCTCCTCCTCCTCCTCCTCCTCCTCCTCCTCCTCCTCCGCCTCCTCCTCCTCCTCCTCCTCCTCCTCCTCCTCCTCCTCCTCCTCCTCCTCCTCCTACGCCCTCCCTCCCTCCCTCCCTCCCTCCCTCCCTCCCTCCCTCCCTCCCTCCCCCGTCCCCCCCTCCCTCCCCCTCCCCACCCTCCCTCCCACCTCCCTCCCTCCCTCCCCCCTCCCCCCTCCTCCCTCCCTCCCTCCCTCCCTCCCTCCTCTCCTCCTCCTCCCTCCTCCCCCTCCCTCCCTCCCTCCCATCCCTCCCTCCTCCTCTCCTCCTCCCTCCTCCCTCCTCCTCCTCAACCCCTCCTCCCCCTCCTCCCTCCTCCCTCCTCCTCCTCCCTCCTCCCACCCCTCCCTCCTCCCTCTTCCCTCCTCTCTCCTACCTTCCTCCCCCTCCCACCTACCTCCCTCTCTCCTCCCTCTCGCTCTTCCCTCCTCCCTCCTCCCTCCTCCCTCCTCCCTCCTCCCCTCCTCCCTTCCCTCACTCCTCCCTCCTCCCTCCTCCCTCCTCCTCCCTCCTCACCTCCTCCCTCCTCCCTCCTCCCTCCTCCCTTCCCTTCCCTTCCCTTCCCTTCCTCCCTTCCCTCCCCTCCCCTCCCCTCCCCTCCCTCCCCTCCCCTCCCCTCCCCTCCCCTCCCCTCCCCCCCCTCCCCCTCCCCTCCCCTCCCTCCCCTCCCCTCCCCTCCCCTCCCCCCCCCTCCCCTCCCCTCCCCTCCCCTCCCCTCCCTCCCCTCCCCTCCCCTCCCCTCCCCTCGCCCTCCCTCCCCTCCCTCCCTCCCTCCCCTCCTCCTCCTCCTCCTTCTCCTCCTCCTCTCCTCCTCCTCCTCCTCCTCCTCCTCCTCCTCCTCCTCCTCCTCCTCCTTCTCCTCCTCCTCCTCCCTCGGGGGGGGCGCCGGCAGAGGTCCCGTGGGAGGCCCCGCCTTCTGGGTCGGCGGCACTGACCGCAGGGCCTGCACAGTAGAGCTGGCCTTCGCAGCCTGCGCAACATTCCCCCTTTCCAGGAGTAGGAGGAGGAGGAGAAGGAGGAGGAGGAGGAGGAGGAGGAGGACGAGGAGGAGGAGGACGAGGAGGAGGAGGAGGAGGAGGAGGAGGAGGAGGAGAAGGAAGAGGAGGGAGGAGGAAGCGATCCGTGTTACGCCCCCCCTGGCATCAGCACCCGCGCGAGAGGCGCAGCGAAGGAAAGCTCTCCCGGAGGCCCGCCGAACCATCCAGGCACCCACCGACGATGAGTGGGCGACCCGGGGTCGGTGCATCCCCCTCTGAGCCTGCCCCCGACCCCCCTCACGAGCATCCCCCCTGACCCCTGACCTGCCTTCGCAAACCCCTGCAGCTCCGTCTCTCGAGCCTGCCATCCTGGACTGCGCGGGGCGCTGGCGCATCGCCTCGTGCGGGGCCGGCGCCTGGCGGCCGCCCTTGGCAGGCCACCTCGGCGCGGGCAGCGGAGAACGCCATGCAAGCAGGCGAGAGAGGCACCGAGGGAGCCCCAAGCAAACCCCAAAGAGACCCTAATACCCCAATACGCATCCCAGAGACCACGGGGCCCTAACACCATCCAGGAGGCATCCCAAGAGACCTTAAGAGACCCTGAGGGGCCTAACACAGATCCAAGAGGCATCCCAAGAGACCCTAATACCCTAATTCGCATCCAAGAGGCTTCTGACCCACAACCTGGGCACGGTAGCGGGATGAGCCGCCACCCAAAAAATCTGGTGAGTTTCTCCCTGGGCGGCTGAACACGCTCTGCCACCAGAGACTTCTTGCCATGGGTATGAACACACGCCGCCCCTGGATAGACGCTCCGATCGGCAGAAAGCTTTTATCTATATGTGTATATATATATATATATATGTATATATAGCCGATGCCCCCCCCCCCCCCCAAAAAAAAACAAACAAAAACAACAAAAACAAACAAAACAACAAAAACAAAAACAAAAAAAACGGTTTCCCCCTCGCTGGGAAAGAGCCAGCAGCCTAGCCACGGCAGCAAGCTCCGCCGACGCCCGCCTGCCATGGGTGGGGAGGCGTGTGAGATGTTTGGCGACCCCCCTCCCCCCGTTCCCCTCCTCGGGCTCCCCCCGTTCCCCTCTCCTCGGGGGCCCGGAATCCCGTTTGAGACAGTGGGGGTGGGAGCTCGGCAACAGGAGGGCGGTAACTGCGTCGCGACCCCCCTAACCCGTTCCCCTCCCCAGGGATCCAGAGTCCCTCTTGAAACGGTGGGGGGAGCTCGACAACAGGAGGGCGGTAACTACGTCGTGCGCGGCAGAGCATCCAAGGACTTCAAATCGTGGCACGTCCCATTTGCCTCCTGGCATCTGCTTCGGCGACCACGCGGAACTTGACAGCGAATTCGCCAGTGTGCGCTCACGCGCTGCGGCGATCTCCATGACCAAAGACAAGCTGATGCACAAACCCATTCAACCGACTCGGAACGGCACTCGTACGTCAAGGCATCGGGAGAGGGAAGATTGGCACGTGCTGTGGAATTGTGGTTAACGCCTGCAGGTGCCAGCGCCGAGCTGCAAAGATGAGAAGAGGGAAGGAGGAGGAAGAAGACGACGGCGACGTCAACGAGCAGCAAGAGAAGGGCCAGGAGGAAGAGGAGAAAGACGGGATGGGGGGAGGAGGGAGGACAAGTAGACCGAGGCTGGGCGTAAACGGAGGAGAGAGTGACAGACAGGTGGACGGAAGGAGGGGGGCGTGCGGCGGGTTCGTGTCGTGATGACCCTGGCGACAGCGTCGGCTTCTGACATCACGTTGGTTCAACCTTGAATGGTCAGCGTCTTTTCGATCGCCAGATCGTCTCGTATTTGCCGGTTCTGAGCCACCAGCGGAATTCAACTTTGAACGTCCGCGGCGGGGCCGCAGCCGCGTCGACACAACACGAGCCCACCGTAAACGAGACATCCATTCCCCCTCCTCCTCCTCCTCCTCCTCCTCCTCCTCCTCCTCCTCCTCCTCCTCCTCCTCCTCCTCCTCCTCCTCCTCCTCCTCCTCCTCCTCCTCCTCCTCCTCCTCCCCCCCCCCCGAGAAAGGGACCCCCAAGACGGACCGAGGGACCTTCGCCCCAAGAGGGACCCAAGACGGCCTCCAAAGGCGTCAGTCGTGCCAAGAGAGCCGCAAGACGGCCTAAGAGGGCCAATCCTCAGATGCCCCGAAGAAACATCCCAAGAAGCCCCCCTCGACCTCCCTTCCACAATTAGTCAATATGAATACTACTCTCCCTCTTCCTCTGACGACGGTTTGAAAAAGCCGACCCCCCCCCCCGCGTACTGTTTTTTTACACACAGGTTTCCCCGGAGTTGGGTTTTGCCTGCATTTGTTTCCAAAATGCTGCTCTCGCTGAGGCGCCGGCATCATTTTCGGGCCCCGCTCGTTCCGAATCGTGCTCCCGCTGCAGCGCTGGCCTCATTTCCGTGCTTCCGCTCGTTCCGAATCGTGTTCCCGCTGCAGCGCTGGCCTCATTTCCGCGCTTCCGCTCGTTTCGACCCGTGCTCCCGCTGCAGCGTTGGCGTCATTTCCCGTGCCATGCCACGGCATGGAATGCAATGCTAGGTTGATACTACGCTTTGCGGTGCTCTTCTACGCCATGCCACGCCGTGCTTTACAATGTATCGCGTACCCTTTCGGGATCATTGCCCTGCTCGACATCCGACTGAGCGAGTAGAGAGGGGATCTGCGCCATGGTAAGGGATGGGAGGGAGGGGTAGGATGTCAGATATGACGCGAGCGCACCTAGCTTGCCTCCTTGCTCAATATGAATACTACTATCCCTCTTCCCCTGATTGTGTCCAGGGAATATTCGACCCCCCCCCCGCGTACTGTTTTTTTACACAGGTTTCCCCGGAAATGGGTTTCCGCCTGCGTTTTTTTTATATTATTATTATTATTATTATTATTATTATTATTATTATTATTATTTTATATATCAAAATGCTGCTCTCGCTGAGGCGCCGGCCTCATTTCTGCTCCCGAATCGTTCCGAATCGTGTTCCCGCTGCAGCGTGGGCCTCATTTTCGGATGGCTGTTTTGCCTCCGTCGTTCAGGATGGCGTTCTCGCCCCAGCGCGGGCCTCTTTCTCGCGCGCCCATCCGCCCGCCACCACCGCGCCGCACCACGCCCCGCCCCGCCGCGCGCACACCCACCGCCACTTCCACCCACCAACGCACGCACGCACGCACGCGCACCACCACCGCGCACCGCCACCACCACCGCACTACCCCACCCACCACCACCACGCTACACCGCGTCACACCACATCACACGCGCGCACACACGCACGCACGCACGCACGCACGCACGCACGCACGCACGCACGCACGCACGCACGCACGCACGCACACACACACACACACACACACACACACACACACACACACACACACAACACACACACGCACACACACACACACACACGCACACACACACACACGCACACACACACAGACACACACACACACACACCACCACCGCCACCACCACCACCGCCATCACGCACGTACGCACCTGGCCCACCACCAAACCACCAAGACGCCACACCACGTCACACCACAGCACACGCGCACACACGCAGACACACACACACACACATACACATACACACCACCACCACCACCACCACAACAACCACAACCACGCACACACGCACGCACGCACGCGCACCACCACCCACTACGCACACGCGCGCGGAGCCACAGGTCCGCTACGACACGCGTCCGCGGATAGAGAAAATCAGCGCCATGGTAAGGGATGGGAGGGAAGGGTAGGACGTCAGATATGACGCGCGCGCACCTAGCTTGCCCTCCTCCCCTCCCCTCCTCCCACCCCTCGACCTCCCCTCCTCCCCCTCCAACCCCTCCTCCCCTGGGCGGGCGGGGCGTGAGCGAAGTATCCCCCGAGGCCCTCCACCGGCGAGGCAACCCCCTCCTCGAGGGCGGGGCGCGCCGCTCGGGTCGCCAGGGGGAGGAGCGCGACGTCACCGAGTTCGCCTCGCTGCCGCCCCTGGCGGCGGACGGCCGTGCGGAGGCCAGCCCCCCCCCCCTGTTCGTCATCATCACTCCTCCTCTCCTCCTCCTGCTGCTCATCCTCCTCCTCCTCCCCCCTCCCCTTCAAGACCTTCAAGACTTGACCAGGGTGATCATACGGCTAGGCCTTTGCACAATCCCCTGACAGGAGTGCCGCCACTCCCATGGCAACAAAAACAATGGTCGGTAGCGGCAGCCGAAAAGGTATCCCCTCCCGTATAGCTTCAACGTGTGCTTAAGTCCCGGGTTGCCGCTACCTGGCTTGGTCTAGGCTGGCCACGGGCGCATAGAGGACGAGCCTCGGCAGTGGCGAACGCGGGCACAGCAAACCAGGAGGTAAAGGGGCCCGAAAGTAAACCTGAGCTTACACGGGCAGCAGGCCGCGGGAGGGATGGGTTTCCTCCTCTGGGGGGGCCTGCGCTTCATGAGTGGGCAGGACGAGAGGCTGCCCCTGGCTTTCTGCAGGGGCAGCAGCACTCGCAACCATCTCTCTGGCCTCTCGCGGAGGCTGGTGGCCGCTCTCCTGCAGTTGAGGCCCTGGGGAAGCGGGGGGAGGAGGAGGGGACCAGAGGAACGAAAGGGGGAACGCAGGGTGCAAGGCAAAAGGCCTCTGAGGAGCTTGTTCCTTTCCCCTGACTTCTTTGGGCGGGGGCAGGTCTCCAGCAGGCCTCTTGTTTTCTGTGTGGCGAACCTGCCACAGAGAACGCAAAAAATGACAGGCAGCTCACTCCCTTGAATTCGAGCTGCGTGAAGCTGGTGCCTTTTCCTCCACCCGTCCGCAGCAGCTCTGCTAGGGTTGGGGCCAGGGCTTCACATGCAAACGCACTCTGCTTGGAGCATCTACGGAGACAAAAGCGGCAGCGGAATGCTTTGCCGTCCCAGACTGGATGGTGAGGTTTCCCCTGGGACCTAGGGCGGCGGGCCGTCTTTGGCCTGGCCAACTGCCCGAAAATCTTCTTGGGCTTCGGCCAAACATGTAAAATAGCACAGGCTCCTATAACTAAATTCTCATATTCTGCCAGAGCCTGGGTGTAGATGTCGACTGCATTCTGTGGAAGGCCGTGCGTTCTCTTTCCCAATCCTGCGAAGTGATCTGCGAATGAGTTGCCTTTGATATGAAATAAGGCAGCCTCATCTCGGGCCTCTCCCTCTGGTAGGTGGGCCTTCACTTTACACATGGCAAGGATGGGTGATGAACCTAGCGACCGCGCAGCTGGCCTCCAATACCTGGCTTGTGGGGTCCTGCCCGCTAGAGCTCTCTCTGTCCAAATGACAAATTGGCCCAGGGCAGAACGATCGTAGTGATACGTGTGACTAGCAGGGTCGAGCGATCGGAGCATCGCTAGAGCCACTGCTGCGTGCTCGGCATCTCCAGGTGGTTGAGGGAAATCTCG